TGAGTCCATTTGCCTAAAATACACAAACTCAGATGCTCAGGCTGGAGTTGAACTCAATCATCCTTCTTTACCATTTTTCAATGAAGCATTTTGCTCCATCATCAGGTGAAAGGGAGAACACTGTCTCAAAGATCTCATTTGCAGATATAATATTATGAGAAACTCGACACAGATTTATGTAGCAGCTTGTCATGGTGCAATTAGGATCTTTATCTGTACAGGAAAACACAGGCCAAAAGGCATTTTTCATTTTTAGGACAAGCATCAACTAAACATGGGAGGCTGTTGAAATTAAGGAAGCAAGACATTGGGTTGCAGCAATAGACTTTGCTTAGTGATGCTTTTCCTGGGTTCAGAGAATGACTGGTCCAGCAAATGACATCTGTCCCTGTAGGGATTCTAAAAGTGCCTCCGATATTCTTTATGTTGTTAGGGTCACAATTTACCTACCATATGTGCAAAGAAACATAGCTTCTTTATTTTCTATAAGTGATATAATTTTTCACCATGACGAGTGACTCACTGGGGCTAGGAAGTAGGGAGAACAGACTCTAACTTTAAATTTACCAATAAATAATATTTCAGCACTTTTGGGTTGTACAACCTGTTTGTGGTATTTTTTTTCAATCAATTCAAAGTTCACTCCCCAACTGAACTGCTACTTTCTTTTTTTTTTTTTTTTTTTTTTTTTTTTTTTTTTTTTTTTTTAATTTAAGGAGAAAAGAAAAGAAAGAAAAAAAAAACAGTGAAGGGGTACAAGTTATACAGATTTACAGAATAAAAAAATGCGCAGTAGGAAATCACTAGTTAATGGATTACATATTGCCATCTTAGAAATAATTGTTCAAGTCACAAAATTAAAGCTTGTAGAGTGGACATTCCAACAATGATACTGCAAACAGTTCTGTTCAATGATCCAATAAAACTCTGTGATATCATTTTCTATCTTATACATTTAAATATACATGCAGTTATATAGTTTAGAGCACTTTCTTTTCCTCTCTTTTGTACAGTGACTATTACACATTTTGGGTTTCATTGCTCCCACGGTTCTTATTGCTTTTTTGGAAGAGAGTAAAACCAAATGTGACATAACAGAACAGAATCGGTCAAGTCAAAAGGGTGGACATAATAGATAATATAAAAACATAATACAAGGTGATCAACAATGGTTACCATAATGCCTCCCGCTATTTCTAATAGAATTGCCTATATCATTAGTTGTAATACAATTGAACAAAACCGTAAAGAATAAAACCGACAAAACCAAAACATTGGAGATATTGTAGGTCTTCAAAAGTAGATAAAAGTCAACGAGAATGGGCGTTATAATGAATCTCATTATCTTCTCAACTGATGCCTAAACTTTCGAACCTGATACTATCCAGCAAAACAGAATAGAGGAACCTCAGTCAAAAACAAGATGGTGAGAGTAATACAGGGCTTCAAATCGAGATAATAGAAAGTCAAAGTGGGTTACTATATTATATCCTGCTATATTTTTCCCTTTAATTAAATGGATAAAAATAAAAAAGTAAATAATGGAGTGGAGATTGAGAAAAAAGAGGGCATAACAGCGAAATAGGGCAGATCAAAACATAACCATTTAAGCAGAATAGTGTTTCACCACCAGATAATCCTGACCCAAAAATAGTTACCATATTGACTCCCTCCCTGAAGTCCTTGAGTACAACTTCATATACTGTAGCATTAAGTATATCAAAACAATGTAAAACCATTTAAGAGAATGACAGCATTATAGAGTATTTAGAATCGACTAACAGAAAATGAACAATGGTCTCTGTATAATCTCCTTGTCTTTAAAAGGTTTTTGCTTATACTATCGTACATAACAAAATCCAATAAGATACAACCTGTTTAGACCATTGGAGACAGAAGAACAAAAGCTAGATGAGACTTCAAAACAAGATGGTACTAAATCAGCATTACCTATTAAGATGTCATTTTCTCCAAAAAAAGCTGTTCCTATCATCCAATCTTCTCTGTCTCATTTCTGTTGAGCTCTTTTTCTGTCAGTAGCTGTCAGTTTGTCTTCTTCATTTTGTTCTCTGCTCCATTCGTTGTGGCCTCCCCGCCACTATTTCTGGGTTCTTTGTATTTTTCTTTTTTTAGAATATCCTGCAATACTTTCTGTAGGGTTGAATTGGTGGTTGCAAATTCCCCCAGTTCCTCTTTTTCCTGGAAGCACCTCGTTTTTCCATCAATTTCCAGGGACAGTTGTGCAGGATATCTCAATCTTGGCTGGAGATTATTATCTTTCAAAGCTTGAATTATTTCTCCCCATGCTCTTCGTGATTTGATGGTTTGTGCAGAGAAATCTGCTGTAATTCTGATGGGTATTCCCTTGTAAGTGATCTGTTTCTTGTCTCTTACAGCTTTTAATATTCTGTTCTTGTATTGAATTTCTGGAATTTTTATTATTAAATGCCTGGGTGTTTCTCTGTTAGGGTTGTAGGTAGCTGGGGTCCTGTATGCCTCATACATCTGAGTATCTTTACCTTTTGCTAAATTAGGAAAATTCTCCTGGATTATTTCTGTGAGTAGCTTTTGTAGTTCACTTGTTTGTGTCCCTACTTCTTCTTTTATGTTCTTAATCCTTAAGTTATGGCTCCTCTTATCATCTTCTTGTCTTTGTATTATTGCTGTGTGTTTCTTTGTTATTTTTAAGAAGTTTTTCATTTCATTCTCCCATGTTTCAAGTCTGCCCTCCAATTCAGATAGTCTGTCCTTAGTTTCTTTCAAGCTGTTATGCCAGTCTTGGATAGACTTCTTAATTTCTTGATAGTCCCTTTGCACCTGCTTCACATACTCAATGCTTTCTCTGTTTTCTCCATCAAGCAATTCTCCCCTCTTTTTCTGTTCTTCCATTCCACCATCTGCTTTTTCCTGGGTGGTGCTTAGCATTTCTCTAACTATTCTGCATACTTCTAGCTTCAGGTCATTGATAACTTCATTCCTGAATTGGTCTATGAGGCTCTCTATATGGCGCTTAATGTATATTGGTGCGGTGTCCACTATTGCCTGATTCTCAGGATTGGGGGCCGAGGAGCCTTTTTCGTTGCTTCCCTTCCCCATATTTTCTGTTCCTTATAAAATGCAATCTTACAAAGGAGGCCCGGCTTCCCTGCCTGTCAGCCACAGCCTGATCAAATTGCGCTGGCTAGTTGTTCCCGCCCACCGCTGCGCCCCAGGGAGTTGCGGAGGAGGCAGCCTATGCGGGAGTCGGTCGCTCCTCCGGGCCACCGTCAGGCTCTGGGATCTGGGTTGGGCCAGCCTAGGGAGTCCGCCAGCAGCGTCACTCAGGCCAGGTACTTTTCACCAATCATGTCCGAGAGGGGAATGTGTGGCTGGAGTTGCCACAGCGCCCTGCTCTTACAGGACTGCCCGAGCCCAGAAAAACCTCCGCTGGAGTCAAACTGTGGTAGGGAGTCAGTTTCTCGCTCACCTCGCCACCAGTCAGTTTTCCTCCTTGTCCGTCCTGTTTCTGACTCCGTTCGCAGACTCCCGTTCCCAGAGCTCGGCACGTCTCTCCTTGCCGAGCCGCTGTGGAGGCAGCCAGCCGCCGGGCGGCGGGAAACCCAAATCACGGTTTCCAATGGCGCGGGGTCGAGCCTCCACACCGAGACTTTTCTGTTCCTATTTTAGCGCCAGGACTGTATTCTAAGTTGGATTCTCTCAGCCCAGTTCGTTCCTGAGTCAGCAGAGCATATCTCTACTGGTTCATATCTCCTTAGTCTGCATCATTCCTGGCCTCTGAGCCGAGCCTTTAGAGAGCCTTCAGTAGTTGCTGTTGTCTGTCCGCCATGTTCTCCCTCCCGCCTGAACTGCTACTTTCTATCTTTTCCTGTTACAACAAAGGATGCTTGGGTATAGGGGATAAATTACAGGCCCCATGATTGGGGACAAAGACACCTCAGTCTCATACTGGTACATAGGCAAGTATCGATGACAGTCTCATTGGCCTAGATTTGAATGTGCCCTGGCTGAACACTTTATTGTATTTATCTTTAAAATTAACACTTAAAATCAGTTAAGGTCTTGAGAACCAAATAATCTCCCTGATGACTCATTCCAAAATTAGATTCACTTGTCAAATCTGAAGCTATGCTGAAGTCTGTTGGTGACCTCCAAGTTGGTCTTTCTCTAGACCTAAGTTCAGAACATGCTTCACCATGCTTCCTTGTATCCAACTTTTTTCTCTTTTTCCATGCATCAGGACGGGAAATACATGTTTTCTCTGCTTTCATAAGCAGAAACATACTCTTCATCATTTTTTTAGCTGAGGCTGCTATAACAAATCACCATGGATTGTATAAATTGGATAAAACTTACTTATTCTCTCAGTTCTAGAGGCTCAGAAGTTCTGTTATAGCAGTTTTAGACTTAGTAGAGGCAAAGAAACTAAGAGGCACTTCGAAAAGTGGAGGGAACCAAGCTTTATTATGCCAGCAAGCTCAGAGGAGCTGCGTACTCCAAAGTCTGAGCCTTGAGCTAGTATAGGAAGTTATTTTTATACTGTTTATCTTTTGTGAGCAAGTGGAATTTTACAAATATTAGAACAAACTGGAAACAAAAACCTCTGGTAAACCGTGAGGTTAGTAGGCTATTTACAGGAGCAGAAGGAATATTGTGGACTATTGACATATATGAGTTTGCTTTTGTTCTTATTTTGTTTTATTTAGTTTGTACCTGGAATTGAATGCATGATCTTGTGCTTGATAGGCAGACTCTGTGCCACTGTATCCCTTGACCCCATATTTGGATTTTAACATATTTTGAAAATAAAAGTTCCTTTACAGTTCAAGATCAATGTGCCAGCCATTTCAGTTCCTAAAGATCTTCTTTCTGATGACTGCAGATATCTGTCTTTGCATTCTTGGTGTAGGAGAAATAAACGTAACTCCCAACCTGTTAGATTGCAGATACACAGAGTTCTTGTTCTCCAAAACTGAAAAATGAATTCTAAGGAGGAGTGGAGGTTAAGAATAGAAACTATTTATTGAGACAGAGATAGAAACTCTCAACTGTTTTTGGAGGGGCTCCCCCAAAATGGGCTGCTGTGTCCTCCATTTTACAGAGTGTTAGAGAGCAAAATCACAACATGGGACAAAACTATGATCAAGCAACGATATTACAAGTTTAGTCGCTTAGGTAACATTGATTCAATAGAGAAGCAGGTCATGTAAGCAAATACACAAAGAAAGAATGAGAGTCTTTTTAGGAAAATGCTAACCAGGGAGTTTCACCTACCCACAAGGGTAATCAGTACAGACATCTACCTGGCAAGCACTATTTCCAATCCATCATTCACCCCTCAGGGAGGCAGGTAAGCCTTGTCATTCTGTCTTTATCTTGAAGCTTGTCCTCCAACAGATGTGCTTCTGGTCACAGTTGTAATGTGTTCCTGTCCTCTGTACAGACTCCCCCAATGGTCTAGCCCTGTATGACTGCCTACAATATTTTTTACCTAGCTTAGCTATCTATAATGTCTTCTTGTGGCAGGAGGAAAAGAGGGAGAAGGGAGGGCAGGAAGGGAGGAAGAGACAGAAAATTCTTTCTTCTTTCTCTTCTTATGAGGTACTTACTAGTCTCATCATGAGTACTTCATGCCCATATCCAACTTACCTTCTGAATACCACACCACCAAGTCACATTGGGGATTAGAGTTCCAACATATGAATTTTGTGGGTACACAAATATTCAATCAATTGTATTGATAGTTTTGATTTCTTTGCTCTGAGTGACACATCCCCCAACTCACATGTTCCCAGAGGTTTTACAGTTCACACCCAGTATTAGAAGTAGAAAGTTGGAAGGGAGCAAGATATAAAATACATAGCTTAATATTTTCAAAATATTGTCCTTATTGCAAAGCACTAAAATGTAAGCTTTTTTAAAAGTGCAAGTGCACATGAGAACATATGTGTGCCAATGTGTGTATGCACATGTGTGTTCATGACTCCATATGCCTGTGTGTTTGTACACACGAGGTATGATTCTGTGAACACTCACAGGGAGTACAGTAACCTCAGCAAGACCCTTTTGAATTATTCCAGCCTTCACTGTGTCAAAACCCACAGAGTGTTTCATCACCTGCCATAGGTAATGGTGCCTTGAAAACAGACATGAGCTGTCAGCCCAGAACACACACCCCTCCAGGACCCCGACTATTCCTTCAGGAGGTATCAGGCAAATATCAAATCATGAGAGACTGTCTTTGCAACCCCAGCTGGCCTTGACCCGAGATAAAATACATGTTTCCTGAAAACACTTCATAATTTAAACTCCATGACAGAGGTCCCTTCTGGAGTTTCTACACAGAGTATTTATTCTACTCTGGCAGACTTCCTCATGGAGAATAGTCATAGTGCTGCTACTACATTTTATGGATTAAGCTAATACGTAGACAACCTTTTGTTTTCCCTCTGGAATAAAATAAGTCTGTGTTTCTCTCCCAAATAATATCCCAGAAGTTATTTTTGAGTAGACTCAAGCTTATGAAGAAATATAGGGTAAGTAAAGAGGAAGTCAACTAAATGAAATTTCCTACAGAATTATCCATCTGCTAAATGATTATTTGCCATAAACTCTGGAGGAATAAATTGACCTAACATGGTACTCATCACATCTCACTTATAACCTGTCTCCTTTTATAGCCGGGGTATAGTCTAATGGCATCATTCAGTTTTTCACATACTATTTATGAGTTTTAGCTCACATAAAATTTGTTAATAATCAGCTATTCTTGTAAGTTTTTTATTGCCAATTATTGAGAGATGATTGTAACTGAATTCTCTTTTTAACACATTGTGTTTGGCCAAGGAGTATTTAATTCTAAATAAATTAATTTATTCCAACCTTGGCTGGAATTATCCCAGGTCAAGGTTACTCCATTAAGTGTGTAAAAAACTATGAATTGCCACGTTAGGCATAATTGTGTCCAATCTGGCCTTCCTCTATTTTAGAGAAGTTGTTTTCCATTTTGTCTGATTATCTGTAAAATAGATATAATATCCACAGGGCAATTGAGGGGAGTGAAGTAAAGTAAAGTCTGTAGTTTCTGAAACCTCAATCTTGTTACTTTGTAAAATACTTTTTTTTCTCACTCTGGACCCCAAGTCTAATGGCCAGCTGTTCAACATGTACAAAATGTAGGGAACAGAAAAGTCAAAGTGAGATAAATTTTTGTAGAGTTTCCATCACATGGTTATGCTTCTGTTGAGATTTTGTCTCATGCCAAGTCCTCTATGTAATAGGCATAAGTAGCATCAGCATTGCATGGTACTCAACATAAGGGCAATGGCAAATGATCACGAAAGGACAATAGCCTCCAGAGCCGGCCCAGAGGACAAATCTTCCAGAACACAAGTGGACCCAGGAACACTGTGAAAAGACATGTGCTTTGTTCCACATGACTTGTGAATAGGTCAGATGCTGAGATGAACATAGCAAAAATCAAGACTGTCCTTGCACTCAAAATATTCATCCTCCAGTTGAAGAACCAAGAAGTGGAGCCGCAATTCCAGTTTGATGTAGTAACTACTGATGAAGGATAAATACTGGACACCATGAAGAAAGATTTCTCAGAGAATGTAATATACAAGCTGCACCTGGAAAACAAAGAGATCCCAAAGTCGCCAATGCTGGTTCACACAAAAGGAAATCTAATACCCTGCTTTCTGTAGGATTTCATTGGAAATTTCATGAGCAAGAAACTTAGGTGGTCTTTTGTTGTCTTTCTCAAATAAAGTAACACTGTGTTTCTCTCCCAAATAGTATACTAGAAGCTTGCTTGCTTTCTCTTCCTTCCTTCCTTTCTTTTCTTTCCTTTCTTTTTCTTTCATTTAGAACATATTTGTAGTACTTTGCAGTTACATTCCTGGAGAGGAATTGATACCTGTACAGAACACACTTTTTTCATCTCCTTTTTCTTCCCTCCCCTTCCTCCACTCTCCATCCATCTCTTGATTCCTCCCCCTACTCTTTTTTGTGGCTATGTTTGCAGTACAAAAAGCTCACATTCCTTGTGCAAAGTTGACACACACACACATAACACATCTTAATTTCTTTTTAATCCCCTTTCCCTCTCCCCTGCTCTCTACTTTTTGATCCACTCCCCCTTTGAAAAAGGTTTATCTTCCTACCTTTTATTATCTATCTTTTATTTTGCTCTTTATGTATAATTTCAATTCCTCACAAAAGAGAAAGCCATATTTGAGCCTATAGGTCAGCATTATAAAGAAATAGGGTAAGTAAGAATTTCTTGTCACATTCTCCCTCTCTTCTCTCATTTATACTGAGCATAATTTTAATTTTAATGTAAAATCATTTTTTTACTTTCCCAATTTTCCTCAATTGCTTTTAAAGTTGTTTACTAGCCAATTATTATATATTAAAATCCACCGTAAGTCATTTGATCCTGAATCACTTGCACTGTTTGTCTGAGGGAAGGATGCAGGAATTACTCTTAAAATAAAATAATGTTTTTCATGTTTTATAGCACAGAGCATGCACCAAATTGATTTTTTTATTTTTTATTTTATTCAAAGTTTATATTGGACATTGTCCAGTTCGATGGATTCAGCTGGCAAGTTTCAAAATATAATTTTAAAATGGCTAAAAATACATACATTTTTATCTTTCAATGTTTATATAATTTATACTTGTGCAAATAAAGTAAAAGCATGTTCTTTGTTTCTCTGGAGTTTTTATGTATGTTACAAAAATGAGTTCTAATTAATTTTAACAAAATAAAAGAGAATTTATCAAATTATCAGGCATCCCTGGATCTAGTTCCTTGAACTTTTTGACTAATGTCCTTCTCTCCTTTTCTCTCTTCTTCCCTTCAATTGTCATTGGCCTGCTTTATTTTTGCAAATAATGGCCACACATCTCAAAGCTTGTGTCATTTTCTTAGCAAGTTATGACAAAGAGAAGTCAAGGTTTCTTTCTTAACAAATCTGAAAAATCCCTAATCGTGCCTTTACCTGGTTACATTTGGGTCACGTGCACCTCTATGAACAATCGCAAGAGCAGAGAGGGGTTAACCTGATTGACCAGATCAAATCAGAAGCAGCTCCACCAGATTGAAGGAGGCAACTGCTGACAGAAAAAGATGCTCATAAGCCACATAATGGCCATGCAATAAGTGATCGAGTGTGATGCATATCTTAGTTAGGAAAAGAGAACTTTGAATGTAAGGTATTCTCCCTACTTCTGTTTGTAATCTTCTCACCTCTACTAAAAACTAAATGAGAAATCCCCGTTGAACTTTTGTGTATTTACAATCTTACTCCAGCTCAGAGGGTATGAACCTTACAAAAGGTACACATGAACTACAGTTTGAGCCTGAAATGAAGATTTATAACTGTTCGGAGAAATAACAGAAAATTCAGAGGAATATCACCTGGGAAGAAATCTCTGTGACACACACACAGGCTTCCACAAGAGATAAGAGACAAGTTGTGTCTGCCTCTGACACATAGACCTGATGCATGAATGTTCCAAATGTAAGAATTTATTAACTGGTCACATAAATATCCATATACCAAAGTCTCAACAGGAACTTTGCATTTTAAGGGAGTCACAGGTTAATGACATATTTCCAAACTCAGTAATAGAGACTTACAGGATATAAATGTAGAGAAAATTTAGGAAGTTTGGATTATTTAATGGACAGAAAAGAAGAAACTGATCTCTTCATTTTCTTCTTGAATCTCATACAGTCCATGTAACAGTTTAATAACTGTAAAAACTATTTAAACAATCGTCAAAAAACTCTAAGATTTTCTGTAATAGGAACTGTGCTAGAGTCTGAGGCTAAAAAAATAAACAAGGCATGGTCTTGTCTTGAGGAAAGTGACTGTGCTGAAGAAAATTTCTTCACCAGACAAATAAAACATAACATTCTATGATAACTGTCTATAAAGTATGCTGTCAAAACTCAATACGAATTTAAGAGGTCACACTTGCAACTCTTTCAATAAGTGTATGTCTCTATATGGTCTGAAATTCTATCACCGGAGGTTGATTCACTTCAGAAAGACGATATCTTCTGTTAAATTTTAAGTAGCCTTGGTAGGAGTATTACTTTAATTGGGATTGTCAGTTGTACTTGGTGTGAATTAATCAATTGGATCATTTCTCCTCTAACAAGCACCTCAAGTCAATAAACTCAGGAAATGGAGTTTTCTTAGAGCTTGAAGGGAATGGATAACAGAAGAAAGGAATTTTGGATATGCAGGATTTGGGATCCAAGTTTTGACTTCCTCTAAGAGACCAGTTAGGATTTAAGCTGTCCGATATAGCTCTTTTTCCTCTTTCGTATCCTGATGCAATATATCAGGATACTTAAGAAAACTTCCTACTGTAGATTGGTCAGTTGAGTAACTGAGCCTTATTTGACTAGCTCTAGGCTCATTAAAAGAACTGAATGAAACAGCGGTTTTTAAGAATTGAATGAGACACCCTTTGTCTTCTCCACCTCTCCAATCAGTATGATCAGTTATCTGGGTCCTCACTGTCTGGGGAGAAGTTGCCAGGTGCAGGCAGACAACCTTTAAGCAGGCTGAGGCACACCCACTGCATTAGTTAGTTTTCCATCACTGTAATAAAATACCTGAGTGAATTAACTTATAGAAACATTTTTACTTTGGCTCACAGTGCAAGAGGTACTAGCAGATGATCAGGTGGACCTGTTTCTTTGGGCTTCTAGGGAATGCAGGACAGCAATAACAGAAAGTGCAGCTTCTCACTTCCTCAGTCAGAAAGCAAAGAGAAAGACAGACCAGAGTCCTGCGGTCCCCTTCACAGTCAAGTCCTCAGTGACCTAAGGAACTCTCAACGCTTTCACCACCTTCCAGAAGTTCCACCCTGAGTACAAGCCTTTAAGCATACAGACCTTCAGGAGACAGTCAACACCCAAACTACAGTGCCCAATGAGCTCTTTGTCTGGCTTTGTACATAAAGACAACTTCCTATTCCAGGAAAGACTTTGATCCCCACAGCCTGAGAATAGCGTGAGACCCAGGGATTCTGAGAGGATTGTAAAGATCGTAACCAGGACTACAACTCAGAAAAAGAAAATCAAAGAGGACATCACAACTGGTGATATTGCCTGTTCATGGATAGGTGGAGCCAAATATAATCAAAATGACCACACTTCCAAAATTGATAAACTGATTTAATACAATCCCAAACTACAGACATCATTCTTCATACACTTGGAGGAAACAATCCTAAAATTCATAGGGAAATGGAAAAAAGCCAGAATATCAAAAGCAGTCTTGGGTTACCAGAACAAAGCAGGAGACTTCAAATTTCAGACTTGAAATTATATAACAAAGCTACAGTGATAAAAACAATATGACATAAAAATAGATCTGAGGATCAGTTGAACAGAATAGTGGATAGAGAATAAACCCAAGCACATTCAACTATTTGATTTTTGACAAATTGGTCAAAAACATACACTGAAGACAAGATAACCTCTTCAATAAATGTTACTGGGAAAACTTGCTATCCACACACAGAAGATTGGATGTAGGCCCATATCTCTTACTAAACTAAAATCAAAATGGATCAAAGAATGAAACATTAAGACAGAATCTGCTGGAAAATAAAATGGGTAAACTTCTTGAAAATATAGGTATAGGTCAAAATTCTTGAACATAATTGCACAGGAAATAGTGCTGAGAATCAATAAATAGGATCACATCAAAATTAAAAGTCTGCTTCATAGCAAAACAACCAACATAGTGAAAAAACAATATATAGAATGGGGGAAATTTTTTCCAGTTATTCCTTAGACAGAGAGCTAACATCTAGACTGCATGGATAACTCAAAAAAGTAGACTTCCCAAATAAAAGACCCAGTCAAGAATAGGCAAATGAAATGAACAGATACTTCACAGAAGTATAAATGACTGATAAAAACATGAAGAAGCTATCAACATCGTTGGCCATTAGGGAAATACAAATCAGAGAATCACCAAGATTCTACCTTAGCCCAGAAAGAATGGTAATCATCAAGAGATGAAATTATAGCAAATGCTGTCAAACCTGCAGAGAAAGTGAGCCACTTCTATATTGCTTGTGGGTATGTAAACTAGTATAACTATGACTGAAATCAGTAAGTATGGAGATTCCTCCAAAAACTAAAACTAGAAATTCCATTAGAATCAGCTATTTCTCTTGGAGATATCTTCCCAAAAGAGTTAAAAACATCATATCACAGTAGCACATATATACCTAGGTTTACAGCAGCACAATTCATAATAGCTAAATCTTGGTAGCAGCCTATATGTCCATCAAAAGATGACTAGATAAAGAAAATATAATTTTAAACACAATGGAGTGCTACTCTGTCACAAAGAAGGATAAACAGGAGTCATCTGTAGGAAATTGGATGCATTTGAGACCATATATAGTTTCCCTTACATGAGAAACCCAAATTATGAACAGAGAGCCAAATAAAAGATGGATAATAGAAAGTTCTCAAAAGGGAACCAAGAGATGGAAGGAAGAGGCAGGTAAGAAAGGAAAGAGAATCAAACAAGGAATTAAGGTATGTTATACATAAGTATCAGCTCAACACAAGGAATATAAACAT